ATATATATTATATATTTATTTATATATATTATGTGTCTCCTTTATATATGTGTCTCCTTTTTAGTAAATGTGTCTCCTTCTTAATTAAATAAATTAAATAAATAAATTAAATAAATTAAATAAATTAAATAAATTAAATAAATAAATTAAATAATATTTTATTTATTTAGGGTTTAGGGTTTAGGGTTTAGGGTTTAGGGTTTAGGGTTTATTATTTTATTTCTTTTTTTCTTTTTATTAATTCTTTTAGTTTATATATAAATGGCAAAAGGAGACAAAAAAGGAGACAAAAAAAGAGACAAAAAAAGAGACAAAAAAGGAGACAAAAAAGGAGACAAAAAAGGAGACAAAAAAGGAGACAAAAAAAGAGACAAAAAAGGAGACAAAAAAGGAGACACAATTAGGGTGTATAGGGAGCATAAAAGAAATGATTGAGGTGTATAGGCACCAAACTGTATTTAGTTTAGGGGTAAGGAGACAATTTATTTATTTATTTATTTATTTATTTATTTATTTATTTATTTATTTATTTATTTATTTATTTATATACAGGAGGAGATAAGAAGTGTCCCTCTTAATACACCAATAAATCCTATTAAGGGACATATACAACAAATTATAGGTAAACCCTAAACCGTAAACCCTAAACCCTAAACCCTAAACCCTAAACCCTAAACCCTTGTTATAGTTTTATAGATAATTATATTATATAATAAAATAATAATAATATTATAACTATAATTATATAATAATAATAATAATAATAATTAATTTATTCTTTTTTTTTTTGTCTCCTTTTTATGTATAGGCCCTTTATTGTCTCCTCCTGTTGCTGCTGGTGTTTGCTTCGGTCTATTACATCCTTTGCTGCTGTCTCCTCTCCCCTTGCTGCTGCTGTCTCCTTCCCCTCCTCTGCTGCTGTCTCCTTCCCCTCCTTTGCTGCTGTCTCCTTCCCCTCCCTTGCTGCTGTCTCCTTCCCCTCCTTCGCTGCTGTCTCCTTTCTCTAGTACCCACCAACATCAGCAACTTAGTATGGGGGCCCCCTCCCCCTTTAGGGGCCCCCACCTAGGGGGCCCCTCATGGGCCCCTAACCCAGGGAATCCTTCATGGGGGCCTCAATTCACCTCCTCAAGGGGGCCCTCACCAGACCCTTCATGGGCCCCCTCATCAGGGGGCCCCCCAAGGGGCCCCTTAAGGGGCCATTCCTCTGCATACGCCTCAGGGGGCCCCTTAGCAGGGGGCCCCTCATGGGCTCCTCCCTCAGTGAGTTCCTTAGGGAGGCCCTTAGGGGCCCCCATAGAGGGTTCTACAGATGTGCCTGTTAAGCGTCGTAGAGGGGCCCCTGGGGGCCCCCATTTATTTTTGGGTACTGGAGGGGGCCCCCCTGAGTTAGAAGGGGAGAGGGGAGGTGTACATTCAGGTGTATACGCAGGTGCATGCAAAGGAGACAGTTGGTGGGTAAGAGAGACAGGCAGCAGGAACAGGATCTGCAGCAGCAGCGGAAGCATCTGCAGCAGCAGCAGCAGCAGCAGCAGCAGCAGCAGCAGCAGCAGCAACAGAGAAAGAATAAATAACAATAAAAGGAGACAAAAATTAATAAAAGAAAGAAAAGAAAAAGAAAAAAAAAAGAGACAAAAAATAAACCCTAGTAAACCCTTATTTATACCACAACAAATACAAACAGCAGCAGCAGCAGCAACAGCAGCAGCAGCAACAGCAACAGCAGCAGCAGCCAAGGCAGCAAGTGTAGCAAGACATATAACTGCCTTTAACCATCCAGTTACTGCTGCTGCTGCTGCTGCTGCTGGTGATCCTCGTGCTTCTGCTGCTGCTGCTGCTGCTGCTGCTGTTGCTGCTGCTAAGGAGAGAGGGCGACGCCGGGCACAGAGTCTTATTGCTCCGCCTTGCAGCAGCAGCAGCTGCTGCAGCAGCATCAGCAGCTGCTGCTGCTGCAGTGCAGAGACAACCGAACAAGGAGACACTGTAGCAGCTACAGCAACAACCCGGTCCCCGCTTGCTGCAGCAGGTACACCAGCAGCAACAGCAGCAGCAGCAGCAGCAGCTGCTGCTGCTACAAATGCTGCTTCCGTGCAAGAAGTAACTATGCAAATGAACTCTCACCGCCACCGCAGCAGCAGCAGCAGCAGCAACAGCAGCAGCAGCAGCAGCAGCAGGAACTACAGCAGCAGCAACAGCAGCAGCAAGTCTCTTGATGAGGAGCAGCAGGAGGGAGTAACTAGGGTTTATAACGTTCTTGCTGCTGCAACAAGAGAAAAGGAGACAAAAATTATTAATAAAAAAAAAAAAGAAAAAAAGGAGACAATTATTATTAATAATAAAAAAAAAAATAAAAAGGAGACACCTATAAAAGGAGACAAAAAAAAACAAATAAAAATCTTCTTGCATGCAATAAATAATAACACAGAAATATTAACTATACACGGGCACCCACTAACCCTAAACCCTAAACCCTAAACCCTAAACCCTAAACCCTAAACCCTAAACCCTAAACCCTAGGGAATAAACCCTAAACCCTAAACCCTAGGGAGTAAATGTAACAGTTAGAGTCGACAAATAAACCCTAAACCCTAGCGAATACGTTTAGCAGCATTAGTCGTCAACTAAACCCTAAACCCTAAACCCTAAACCCTAGGGAATATGTTTTTTTGGGTTGAGTCCCGAACTAGGCCATAAACCCTAAACCCTAGGGACTATATTAACAAGAATTAGTCCCTTAATAAACCCTAAACCCTAAACCCTAGGGACTGTATTTGGCTATGTTATAAGTCTCCAACTTTATATATATTTTTTATTGAGGAGACAAAAGGAGACAAAAGGAGACAGCAGCAGCAGCAGCAGCAGCAGAGGGAAGGGTTTATCTGCATGCAGAGGAATATCTTTTTTATTAATTTTCTTGATTTGTTTGTTTAGCCATAGGAAGGGATAAAGGTAGAAGCAGACCTTCTAGGGTTTAGGGTTTAGGGTTTAGGGTTTAGGGTTTATGGCAAGGGGTTAGTTAGTCTCCTCTCTCCGTTGTCCTTTCAATGTTTAATAAACAGACAAAAGGGTTTAGGGTTTAGGGTTTAGGGTTAAAAGTATCGTTTAGTGTTTAGGGTTTAGGGTTTATAGGGCTTAGGGTTTAGGGTTTAGGGTTTAGGGTTTAGGGACAGTTAAGAGACAGCCAAGGAGACAAAGGAGTAATAGAGGGGAAGATAAGGAATAAATAAAAGGAAACAAAGTATTAAATAAATAAAAATAAATAAATAAATAAAAATAAATAAATAAAAAAAGAATTAAATAAATAAAAAAGAATTAAATAAAAAGAAGAAAAGAAGAAGAAAGGGACAAGAAAAGGGACCATAAAGATAAATAAATAAATAAATATATTATTATTGTGTATAATAAAGAAATAAATAAATATAAATAAAGACAATAAATAAATAAATTATTAATTAATTAATTAATTAATTAATTAAATTATTATTAAAAAAAAAAAAAATAAAATAAAATTTCCAGCAGCAGCAGCAGCAGCAGCAGCAGCAGCAGCAGCAGCAAGAGGCCGCTGGTTGGGGTGTCACTGCAGGTGTCGGCAGCAGAAAAGGAGAAGAAAGGAGAAGAAATATTTTATTATTTATATATAAATAATAAATAAAATAAATACATAATAATTAATAAATAAATTAATATACAGAAATGAATTAATTAATAATAATTTCAAGCAGCAGCAGCAAAAAAAAAGCAGCAGCAGCAGCAGCAGCAGCGGCAGCAGCACGAACGAAGCCATATATGTGTATAAGGCCGTGGTGTCACATCCAGCTGCTGCTGC